GTAGAGGCATAGCTCCTCCTCGCGCCCGATGCCCGCCCGTGTCCCGCAGGCCCCCTTTCCCTCCTCGGCGGCGCGCGCCTGCCGCCCCTGGGCCAGGGTCTGACGGTCGAGGCGCGGAAGCACTTGCGCGCCAAGGTTGTCCGCATGCACGCCGAGGCTCGCGGCGGCGCCCGCATCATCCGGGCCGCCCGCTCGCTTCCAGCCTTGGCTTTCGCCCCTGAGTAGGCGCCCCGCCGTGCGAACCACGGCCGAAGGGCCGTCCAGCAGCGGGTTGGGCCCCCACGCCGAAGCGGGTCGACCGTCGCGCCCAGAGACGTCGCGGCCCCCGAACAGACCTCGCCCGGGGCCCTCGCGCTGCGGCGCCGGGGCCGCCCCGAACAGATCGCGGGGTCGGCCGCGGCCCCCCCCGACGCGATTCCGCGGGCTGACCTGCTCCTGGACCCTTCCGGCGAGAATGCCCCCAATGGTCCGCTCCGCTCGACCGACGCTGCACGCTCACGAGCACGAGCGCCCCGCTGGGCATCGCCCAAGCCCCGCAGGAAATCCTGGAGCTGCGCACCATAAGAACCTCCTGGCCAAGGGCGCTGAGGGCCGCGGCCCCGCCGCCGCGCCCCTTGCATTTCTGCGCGTGCACCGAATCAAAAAAGACTTCTGCCTGATCGAGGGGGTCATCGTCCTCCGTCGTCGCCTGAGCCCACGCTGCCGTAGGCAGCGGGGCCGGGCGGGGGAGCCCCTCCGCGCTTGGCCCCCGCCGCGGAGCGAGCGCCCTGCCTCGGCGACGCCGCCCCAAGGCGCGGCACGGGTCCTGCTGCCGCCTACGCCGCTTCGAGCTGGCGAGGCATCCTCACCTCCACCCGCTCGCGCTCTCCACCTACACGCCGCCCCGTTGCTCCTCGCGCAACATCGGCAGCATGTCCTGAAGTACGTGGTGCGCCGCGGCTCGCACCCCCACCTCGCGGGCCCCCTGGGGGACCTCGTAGAGAAGCCCGTTCAGCCAGTAGATCGGGTAGTGACAGTGGTCGAGTGGGGGTGGATGCCGCGTTACCTCACTAAATGCACCTCGAGCTGCACCTCCTCGATGCTAGTCTGAATGAGGAGCCTCGCATCCCCGCCGCTCCGGCGGACGTCGAGCCCCACGCATTCTCCCATCAGAATGTACCAGTGGCTTGGAGGGGTCTGGTCAGCGCCTGCAGCTCCCCCATCGCCTGGCCCGATGGGGCAGACCTTCAGGACGAACGGCCCTCGCAACCACCCATGGTGCGCGGCCCTCGACCGCCCCCCGGTTCCTCGAGCGCGAGCGATCCACCCCGTGCGCCCCCGCGGACCGCGCCCGTCGGGGACGCGGGCCCGACGCGGGCGCCGGGGGTTCGGGAGCGCAGGAGATCCAATGCTCTCCATCTGGGGACGTAGGCCCGGGCGGCGCTGGCACTGGCACGATCGCCGTGCCCGCGGGCCCCTGGGCCGCGGCCGGTGCCTCGACCGTCGGGGGCCCTTCGGCTGCGCGCGCTGCCCAGTCGCGCGCTGCAGCTGGGCTAACACCTCGCCGTTGCATGCGCCTTCCGAGCCCGCCGACGAGGCCCGGCTGGACGGTGGTCTCGACCCTGACTGTTACTGCGTCCAATCACAGATGTTCCGCGCACATCGGCGCGCCGCCGCAGCTTCCCTTCGCCACCCAGAGGCAGGCGAGAAAGCTGCACTTTCGGCCCACGAAAGTCGAGCGATACTTCTGCGCATGGTGGGCGCAAAGGTGCACCTGGGCGGGCAGACCTGGCCCCGGCCGCTGCACGTCTGACACCTCCGCGTCCTCGTCCAGGGAGACGGTCGGCTCGGACGTCCCGCGATCGCTGCACCCCTCGGGTTGAAGCGGCCGCGCGCCGATGGCCAACTGCACCCCGGCTTGGGCGGCCAAGCATGGGTGATCCTCCGCCTCCAGCTCGCTCTCCGAATCGATGTCCAGCTTCCTGGGCCCGGTGGCGTCGGCCATGTAGCGGAGCTCTGGGCGACCTCGGCAAAGCAACGTAAGCACGGACCACAGCAACCCGAAGCACAGCCACCGTAAGAGGCGTAGAACCTTCCCGAGGCCAACTCCCACGGCCCGGCCAGGCGCGGCCCCCCATACTCCGCCTAGTCCACGATCTGGGCATGGTCGATCACGGAGTACTGGTCCACGCGCATCGGGTGGGCCACAGGGCAAGCCTCGCAGGCGGCCGCTCGGCACAGGTGCACGTTGCCGGTATCCTCGTGGTTGGCCCGCCACTTAGTTACGGCTGGTGCACCCGTGGACCTGGATGACCCGGATGTTCAGCCCGTGGCGGTCGAGCCAGTTAGCGTGAGTCGAAGTTGCAACTCACTCGAGCCACCTGGCCGCGCTTCCGCAAGAGGACGTGGTTGCAGGCCCGGTTGGTCCCTCGGCCGCGAACCCCCCCTCGTGTAGAACTCCGTCTCCACCGCTCCCCCGACCCCCGGCCCGCGCCAGCGGACCATGATCGGTGGCGGTGGAGGCGGGGGGAGGTGGGCCTCCGGGCCCGCCCCTCCGCGCCGACGGCAGATGCAGGTCAGCTGGTACCAGGACCACCGCAACCCGCTGACCATCCAGAGGAAAGGGCGAGCTGCCACGTTCACGACGAAGGCGGACGCGCCCAGCACGAACGTCACCAAGCCCAACGCGATGCACATGACCGCAGTCTCCCACCAGTATCCGAGCATACGGACTCCCAGTCGGTCGATCATCGGCCCAGCTGCCGTGGGAATGGATACTGGCCCTGTGTGCTGATCCAGGCCCCGTAGCCGGCAGCCTCGAAAGCCCACGCCGTAAACCTCCAACCCCAGTCGGACGCGCTCGCACCAGTGGGCGGCGGCGGCGGTGGGGGCGAGGTCGGGGCTGGTGTGGACACCCACCAGGCTGGCCGGCCAGGCAGCCATCCGGCCCAGCCCACGTTGCCCGCGCGGTCCGCTGAAGGGCTCGTATCGCTCGAGCCCGTTCGGCCAGCCGAGACGTTCGAATGGCCATCCGCGCGGGAGAAGGCCTCCTCGCCGGGACCTCCGGCCGGCCGGCTGCCCGGCGCGGCCACAGGCGGGCTGCCCGCCGGCTCGCCTCCACCTGTGGTCTCGCCGCCAGACCCGCTCACACGCGTCGTGGTGGTCGTCGCGGCGGCGGCGACCACAGCGGGCTTGGGCGACGGCCCTCGCCCCTTGCCTCCCGCGGGCGCAGGCTTGGCAGGCGGCGACCGCCCCTTGCCAAGCCCCCGCCGCCCACGGAGTGCAAGATCGGCCCGGGCTTGGGTGGTGGCGCCGGCGCAGGCAGACTCCGGTCCTGTGCGCGGCCGAAAGGCCACCACCCCATCGCCCTTGGGCCGAAAACGCAACACTCGCCGCCAAGATCACTGCATGCGCCCCGAGGAAACCCACCGCCATGGCGCCGCACCCTACGCGGCCGCCCCGGATGGGGGGGGCCCAGCGCAGGGGGCCAGAGCCCCGCCCCGGAGCCCCCCGGGACGCCTGATCTTGAGCCACTGGCTACAGAGACCAAAATGCCAAAAGCACCCCCTTGCTGCACTTAACATGCAGTCTACCTGTAAAGCACACTATACAACTGACCGACTGAGCGACTGATCAAGTAACCGATTGACCAACTGACCGAGTGACCGACGAGCGACCCCCCTCTCATCGATTGACCGAGTGAGCGATGGACCGACCAGAAAACTGTCCGACCGACCGACCGACTGATCGACCGACCCTTTGGAAAGAGCGCCCCGATCAACGGCCAGCCGACCGATCGGCCGACAGACTGGCACACAGACGCCAGCGCCCGCCGATCGACCGACCGAGCAAGCCACCCACCCGACGAGTATACCACGAAGGACGAAGTCCGCTGGAGCGTCCAATCTGCTCACATCATACTCGACAAATCTCTCACACGAAACGGCCTCGATGGACTCCGACCGAGCGAAGAGTTTAACTCATCATGAGGCTCGGACGCACAGGTTGTCGAAAAATGCTCGCGCTTGCGAAAGGAACCTCCGCTGCCGAAGATATGGGACCCGGAAGTGTTTCGACCGATATTGAAATGCCCACCACCGCGCTGTGCCGCTGCCTTTTTCCTGCGTGTTGCTCCCATCGGGGCCATAAGCGAGTCCCCCACATGGATCGGGCGCAGCATGTGTCGATGTATTACTCGAAGTCCATGCGGATTCATTTCCCGAAGGAAAAAAACTACATAAGCTTACAGTGGAGGGGTCTGCGGCCGTCCCCCCCCAACACCCACTGAGGCCCTTCACAACGAGGTGTCGAAAATGCGCGGCAGCTCCATGGGACACGATCACATTGCCGTAGGTGGACGAAGGCTCTTCTTCTCCATTCATCAGTCGCCCGGCACGTTCCGAACCTCGTGTGAAGAAGTTTCGGGGAGTACGGGTACAATCCTTCCATGAGTCAACGGTCACTTGCCCCCTCGTTTCACTCTGCCCTACAAGCCCTGGTGTTTGTCTAACTGTTGTCTTACGGTGTACGTGGGTGGATCCTAGCTGTTTTCGAAGGCCAAACTGTTGATTCGCCTTTGCGCGTTCGCGCTTAATTTCTGAACACCTGACGAGACCGAAACATCAATACCAATAGCCAAGCAAGGGCGACCCCCAAAATACGTTGGTAGACTTCGAGACATGGGCACGCCCAGGGCTTTGCAGAGGCCACCTGAAGCCTCCCGTGCGCCCGCCCCCCGACGCTCTTAGATCGTCTGAGGGGTAACGAGATGGCGCGGCAAGGCTCCAAGGGAGCCCGAAGATCGCCGCAAGATAGCCCTGAGATGGCCAAAGAAAACATCGAGGTCACGAATAGACTGAGAGCCAACGGCAGAGCGCCAGGCAATGTGGCACGAAAACGGATAGTGCGAGCATCAGACTTGCAAACGACATTCGGGAGCTGGTAAGCAAGTCAAGAAATGGCACGGTAGCAAGCGAAAAGCGCAACGACACCAAACACATGAATGCAGAAAAGCTGCTCGCCTGCGCTCCAACGATCGTTGCTGGCAAACGACCTGGCACAAACAGAAAGACGGTGTAAGTATCGACTGCGACACATCCGTCCAATGCGGATGTTGCTGTGTACATCGAAACGTCATTCAACAAAATCACGACATGCGCAAGCACGTATATGACATCTACACCTGTAATTGCGCAAAAACGTAAGCGCAAGCATGCAATAAGCGCATGCATGCACGTGAGCGCACGCATACATGCAATGATACAAAAGCACGTCTGTTAAATCGAGTGGTTGTCGTCGCATGACATGTCCCATGTCTAGGACTCCGTCGGGATACAAGACGTTCAAGTGTGCAGATAGGCGAAGAGACACTGGCAACCAGCCGATCGAAATGCTCACCATAAACTCGAAGCAGGGAAAAACCTTGAGTAACGCACGAAAAATATTCGAAACTCCCATGCTCGAGCAAAAAACGGGCCTGTTGCCACCAACCCCCTCTGCGATCGAAGCGTGACCCGGGCGGTCACTGGCAGAAAGAAAGCGCCAATGCTGCCAAAGACTTCCCGCCGCACACGAGACCTCCAAAATAGCGCAACCATTTGTCGGAAAAAACCGTACGGCCAGGTCGATACAACGACCTCATCTTGCGTGCCCCGTCTCGAGGTCCACCACGCACGAATCGCACAAGTTCCTCGCACCCTTCAGCCTACGCCACCGAATTCGGACAAACGAGTTGGCATGGCACAGCACCTAAACCCATCCAAAAACATTTGGCGATTGCTAAAGTGCTTTTCCAAAATCAATATCCCATCGCTGCCGCGTGGAAACTCCACAGAAATCACAAATCGAAACACATGCGAACACGCATCGACATGTTGCGAGCACTGGCCGCGGTACCAAGTTCACACAACATGATGAAAACAACCGCTGACCTTCGGCAATTCTCTGCACTTCCTTCCAACCGTCAAGACAGCCTGGTTGAGAGAACGCGCAAACTCTAGCAACACTGTAAAAACAAGGAGACTGCAATACGCAAAACTTCAAGATCACTGCAAAGTACTGCCAGGATGCCTTAACACGAATGCGGCGGTGGACCCTTTCATTCAACGAGAAGTCGACTTGTCTGCAAAACTCTCACACACACACACATTGTATCCTACCATTGGCCTGGCCTCCGGAGCTGTCAACATAGCAGGGTACAAATGCCACATCTGGTGTGAAACCAACAACGGCCGCTACCATGAAAGCTACCATCAGCGCACAAGTTCGTGCGTGCCTCCCCTGTACGCTTCGCGCACGGGACGCAGGCCCACTTCACACAAAGCTCGATCCAATTCAGACGGAGAGCCCCGAAAAGCAACGTCGCTGCTAAGCGGCTCGATGACTACAGCACTTGCCCTCCTCTCCTTGCGAGAATATGTGTAGAGAGCCGAACAAGCACAGACCAGCAATAGTGCCACAAAATGTTACACCCACAGCTTGGTGGTTCCACAACCAGTCCTCCTGCCCGACCGCGTCGTCGCCGCCGAGCGGATGGCGATCGCACAAGCGCCACGTTCATTGAAAATTCTCGACGCCCACGAAAATTGCAGCTCTCATTATATATCGTCGCCCTGAAATTGCACGTTGTTTGCTGCTGGCCTATCCGCAGGCATTGATACGAGCCAGGATGTCAATGACACCAATCAAGTTGGCAATACCCCCCAAAGATCCCACATTCGATCACGATGCCGATCCAGACGCACATGGAACGGCAGCAACAAAATCAAGTGGTACTGCTGCTCTTGCCTCTCCTTAAACCCTCTCACCACGAATCGTGCACATTACACGACTGAAGGACCTCCGAAGAACTACGCAATACACACACATGAAACCCTGAAGCTGGACAATCATGAAAACTGTCAACTTGCTTGGATGGTCAAAAAACAACGATGCCTGAAGCCTGAAGGCAAACAACCACTCAATATAGAAAGTGCCAGAGAGAGTGAAGCCCAAAATGGGAATGGAAAAACAAGCGACAACTAAAGACTAAAGGGAACGGTGCGATGAAATGCATACGGAAACACCAACCCGAGAACATGTCCAAACCAATTGGACAGAACGTACGGAGATGAAGTGGGAAGATGAGACGAACTTGTACTAACTGGAGCAACAATCACACACAACAAAACAAAAACAACCAAACAAAAACATTACGTGCTTCAGATTTCAAGCGCAGGTGGTGGACATCAGACAGAGCGAAAGATGCCACCTCGCCATAGTGCGAACGCCACCGGGTGCTCCCAGTCTGTGAATGCCAAAACAGAAGAGAAGATGTGGCGGAATACGGCGGATGGATGACGCGTAAACCATGGAAATCATGCGGCAACACTACAAGTGTGAACATCGCTTGCGTGAAATTACACGTAACGTACAAGCCCTGTCGCGGGGAACATCCGCAGACTAGCAAAGAGGCCAAGAGAACACGCGCAATTCTTCCTGACCGAGCTGGCCCATCTTCCTCAATCAAGTCTTGCCTCAGGGGTCCTTACTGATTTTGTGAAACAGAACAGGCCCAATCATGACTTCGGCGCGCACGCTTGGTTCCTCGACCCCCAAGGGGGCTCGCCATCTAGGAACTGCCGGCATGGTCCTCGGGGAGGCCCCCGGTTTAACACCTTTGCTTTGATCGATTTTGATCTGCTTCGCCATGCTTCAATTGTTTTTGCGCTGGATCGTGTTCCTTTACACTTCTTCGAATTCGAATCCATGGCCCTGGATTGCGTTGCATTGCTCTGAATAGAAATGTTCTGCGCTGGAGTTGCTCCCTGGTGTATTCCTTTGCATTACATTCCTTTGAACAGGATTGCCTCGCTGTGGATTTCACTACGACGCACAATCATACTTAGACCTGCATTGTGTCCGTTGACTTGGGTTGCTCTGCATTGCTTTGATTGCTTTGCATTGCTTTGCATTGGTTCACGTTGCTGCCCATTTTGCAGCATGTCCTTGCCTCTCGTTGATTTGATTTGCGTTGATTGGCAGATCTTGGTATGGCACTGCTCTGCGAACCTATGCTTCGACTTGTATCGTATCGCATTGGTGTTCATCACACCCATATGTTCACATTGCTTTGCTTCACGTTTCATTGCCTTGATGTATATTGTACTACACTGCTATGCAGTGCATTCCATTAGAGTTGCTCTGCATTGCGTTACATTGCCATGCAATGCTTTGCATATGCGCGGCTTTGCTTTACTTTGCAAAATAGCGCATGGCCTTGCAGAGTATTGCTGGCACTACATGACATGAGCATTGCTCAGCCCTGCATTGGAATATGCAAGTTTGCGTTGCAATGCGTGTTGTTGAACTGGCTTGCTCAGCATAGCAGTGTACCCTATTGATTTACATTGCCTCGTTTTGCGTTGCTTTGCGTGGTAATGTTTCACTTGCTTGCGTTGCATACATGTGTTTCACACTGCATTGCGTTGCTGCACTTTGTTTCGCATTGCTTGCACTTCTTTGAATGCCATCGCATTCCTTTGCGTTCGAAATGCACTGCATCGCATTGCTGTGACTTGCAATTCAACTGCAATGAAATTCAATCGAACGCAAGGATGCACAATTGCGACGTAAGGTTTTGCTTCATAGTGCACTCGAAAGATAAAACCCTCAAGTCAGTTTAAGCTTAGGAAAACTAGGCAAAGGGACGAAAATTGCAAACTGCAAAAACACATCAATCTGAAAGCAAATGAATGCCAAACGGATAAACGCAAAAACAAACAAACAAAGGAAAGCAATACCGTGCAATGCAATGCCGGTTCCAATACTTGGCGCTGCACGACAGACTAAAGTCTACAAAACATCGACATTCACAGCAAAGCCACCCAACGTCGAAAACTCTTAGAGCGAATAGCCACTCATTGCGAAGTCAACCGACACCGTAAAGTCTGATTGCTTTGAACATGTCCTGGACTCCAGCTTTGCATTAATTGTAACCACTCAGTCTGCCCCAGTCTGCCCCAAAAAGAAACATAATTGCCATTGAGGTCACGCTGGTTCAAATTATCTAAACATACGACCGCTGGCGCCAGGATATGACGGCACATCTGCATCAAGGGGTTCTCACTTAGTTTTCCCACCATTGAAGCCCATGTTTCAGCCTTCGCGATGCCGCCCATGACTGGCCCTGCCCCCTCCCCCTTTCCCCCCCCCGATCACGTCACGATTCGCGCTGGCGCCGTCTGGGCATCAGCCGTTCTTGAACATCTCCAGACAGCGCCCGCGCGAATCGTGACGTGACTGGCCCCCGCCCCCCTCCCCCTCCCCCCCAATCGCGCCCGTTATCGCCACCATCCTCCCTCCTCCCTCCTGCCTCCTCCCTCCTCCCTCCCACTTCCTCCCTTCTCCCTCGGAGGAGGGAGGAGGGAGGAGGGAGGAGGGAGGAGGCAGGAGGGAGGAGGGAGGAGGGAGGAGGGAGATGAACAAACGGTTTCTTGGCTGGCGGCTCCTGTTCCTCGGCCAGTGGGGGTGACAGTGGGCGCCGCCTCGTGGTCGCCCCACGTGCGCCGAGCCGCGCTTCGCAGATGCCGGCCGGAGGGCGCCCGTGGCCGCGCAGTTTTCGCCTTCAGCAGTCCCCTCTGGAAGATGGCACGAGCTGGGACGCACAGGGACATACTAATACTATATGTCCTCCTTGGAGGCGCGCGTCCGACCCGAACATATAGCGTACCTATCTTGTAGTCTATCATTTCCCGAGCGGTGTGGCCAGAAAGCGCCCGCCACGACGCATAGAATATAAGATTTCTCAGTGCGCGCGTCGCCCCTGAGGCAACCTCCCACATTTCGGACAAGCTGCGATGCCAAGCGCTTCGAGCCTCCTCCCTCCGAACATCAGCATCCTTTGGCGTACCCCCCTCTTCGCCGGCAAAGCCTTGGCCCCGTTGTCCGACCTATCCCCCCTAGGCGGGGATAGATGACCTCTCCCTCGGGCTCCGCGGCATCAATCCCCACCTCGAGGCGGTAGGCTGGTAGCGCTGGGGGAGCCGTCCCACTGGAGGAAAGAGAGTGCTCTGACGATGCTGAAGACTGCGAGCTGGTCGCGCACGAGGGCAAGACGGCGACGCAGCGGGTGTGCGGCGCCCGCCTGTGGTCTGCACCTTGAAGTTGCACTCGAAGGACTCGTTTCTCGAGCGCGAGAAGACCTGGCCCGGCGACATCAGCTGACCTCCTCACCGATCCTGGCCAGTCACCGGTGTCCACGCCTCCCTCCCTGGCCCAGTCGGGGAAGCGCATGTACCGACCCTGGGCCCAGGAGGAGGAGGAGGAGGAGGAGGGGAAGAGGAAGAGGAGGAGGATGCCTGGCCAGGGACGGTGATGCAGCCGATTGACGTTCCCTCACTTACTCGTGGACTGTCCACTTGCAATCTGGATCGGTACCTGTTGCATCGAGCGAGCATCGAGTTCAGTCGCGGCGTGGCTGGCCAGATCTCCATTCGGAGAGTGCATAACGCTCCCCGTTATAATTAGCTCATCATGCTCGTCGCAAGCAAACGGCTTCCAGGCGTCTCAGCCACCAGATCACCGAGGAAAACTATCACAGCATTATCGCTTGACTCATGCTGTTCCCGCCCACCCACCAACCCACTTCTCTATCGCTTGTTATTTCTCTCTCCACATGTATATATATATATATATAGAGAGAGATGTATGCCTATATCTCTCTCCTTATGTATATATACATATCTACATAAACCTCCCTCTCCCTCTCTCTCTCTCTCTCTCTCTCTCTCTCTCTTTCTATATATATATATATATATATCCCTCTCTCTCCATCTCTCTCTATGTACTAGAACCATCGCGCGCGCTTCGCGCGCGCTCAAGTTCTAGCTAGGCTTGATAGGTTAACTCATGTGATATCATGTTGGTCGCTTCTTGCGTCCAGGGACTCCCTGGGAGGCCCTGCGCAAGCCTCGGAATCGTATAGAAGGGGAAGTGGAAACGCAGAAATCATTGATTTCCTTGGGGCCATCAAAGGCTCCCTGGGTTCTTTTTTGGGAGGTGAGGGGGGTCTGAATTGTGGTCTGTTGTGCAAGAGTAGCCTGGGGGCAAAAAAAAATGGGATTTTCATGTTTTGTCGAGTTCCTCAGCGCTGTTCGGCGCTGTTTCTGGTTTGTGCCTCGCGGCCTGGGCCCCTCAGGGGTGTGGGATCTTCCGGACCCCCTGGGGGTTCTGGAGGCCTCCTGGAGGCCTGGAGAGCCGTCGGAAGGGTGTCTCGGGCTGCGCGGGAGCGTGTTAGGCCATTACTTACGTTCTGGGGGCTCCTTAGGGTCGTCATGGGCTGTCCTTCGGCGTCTTGGGGTCTCCCCCCGGGAAGCCTGGAGGCGCGGTACCGGCCAGATGTCAGGGGATGTGTGGGACCCCCGAGTAGAAGTCCCACTTTGGAAAAAAAAAAAAAATTAAAAAGTGCTTTCCAAAAAATCCTCGATCTTTGAGGGTTGGAAGCGGGAAAGCGTGATAAGGCGAAATTTAGAGAGAGAGAGAGAGAGAGATATATATATATATATAACTAAAAAATGGGAAATCAACGATTTCACCCTCTTTGGGCTCTCTCGAGACGGCTCTCGCAGCTCTCTCGGGCTGTTTTTGGAGCCTCGTCGGGGTCTTCTTGGGGCCTCTCAGGGGGGGTCCCGGAGGCCTCTCGGAGGTCTCTGGAAGCCTCCTGCTCCCGCTCTTGGGCCCATCTTGGGCCTGTTCCCGGGTGGTCTGGGGCCGTCCTGGGCGCCTGTTCGGCAGTCTTGGAGCCTTCTTGGCCCGTCTTGGGGCCGTCCTGAGGGTCTCTTGGGTGGTCTTGGGGCGGTCTTGGGAGCCTTTTCGGCGCTCTTAGACCATTGGAAGCTCGAAAACGCAAGAAGCCAAAAGGATTGCAAAAAAAATGAAAATCTACGATTTTGCCATCTTCGGGCCGTCCCGGGACGCCTTTCGGACCTCTCTTGGGGTCTCTTGGAAGTTACCTGGGAGCCTCGAGAGCCGTCGGAAGGCTGACTTGGGCTGCTTGGGAGCGTCTTGGACCATCCTTTCGCATTCTGGGCGCTCCTGGGAGTCGTCTTGGGCCCTCCTGGAGCGCTGTGGAGGCTCCCCAGAACGCCCGGGGAGCGGTACTTGGAGCGTCCCCCAGATGTGGCGGGAAGGTGTGGCACTCGGGGCCTAGGGGGGCGGTATTTATTTATATTATATTTGTATTCCCCCTCTATCTCTCACTGGTTATGAATAAAGTGCGTCGACATATACATTGACCTGCATATATATATATATATATATATATATATATGTGTGTGTGTGCGTGTGGACATATATATACATATGTATACACATTTACATATATATATATATACACACATATACTATATATGTATACATACATGTACGTATATATATGTGTCAGCAAGCATGGACACAGCAATGCTCGTAGATGTGCATATCTACATGTATATGGAAAATACATATATAAAAAACAGAGAGACACAACCCCTTCTGTCCTCACCTCTGCAGCCTTGCATTGAACTCCACGAACTTATGACCCATGTACTTAAATGAAAGAAACGCACCCCCACACCTGGTACATCGAGAACTCGGTAGCCCCCTGGCCCACGAGCGCACTCGTCATGACAACTTGACTACGTCATACAGACTTGGCATCAACCGTGCCGACAGATATGCGCGCACAGGGCACAACGTGAAATTCACACGGTCACAATACCGCCAGGCATGGTCGATTATATTGTAACACGTCGGAAACGAAAAACGAACAAAGGCTGCGACCATGAATGACAAGGGACACAACGGCGGCAGAACAACTCTCGACAGAAAAAGCGACCAACACATCGTTAGAATTCGAGATGTCACCGAATTGCCATGAGACCTGTGAGAAGGCATTATGTAAGGACGTATGAACGCACATTCAAGCTATGACACTTCACAACAGTTCGCACGAGCCAACCACTACGGCCACCATGCCTGGCCAGAGCAATGCTGGGTTTGGGCATCGTGCATACGCCCTCGTAGCCGTGGCCGGGACGGTCTGGGCCCCGTCCGAGCGTGGCTGTTGTGCATAAGCGCCTTCTGCGAAAATCGAACCCCGAACGATGCAAATTTGACTTGGCTTTCCGCAGTGGCAGCGGCTAGCCTCGCCAAGCATATCACATAAAGGACCTTCGCAAAGAGTGGCAGGATCTGCTCCTTCACCTCCAGCGGTGACTGAAACGATCATGCGATTCGCACCATAAGTGCAAGAGTGAACGCTGAGATGATGAAAAAGCAAATAAATTGCGACCACAAACTGTAGCACGCATTCACGGTCGCGCCGATACACAACAAGCACGACCAGAGTTCCTGGCAGCACAAGCCCGCACACATGCATCCGAACTCGCAATCAACCGATCACTTCGAGAAAAATTCGCGCGCCCTGCGAATCCACTTTTTGGCGTCGCGGCCCCGCGCGCAGTGTCGACGCGTAGCGGGTCGGAGAGCGAGAAGCGAAGGACGCGCACGGCCGGCCCATCAGAAGATACGGCAGGGATCCACACGAGGGGATCAACCATGCCATGCGCACACCCAAGCATGGGGGGCGAGAGACGAGAGCATGGTACAAACAGGCCAGTGGCGACCGTACATGGACGGGCAAGGCGAGGCGAAGTGCCACCGGCAGGACCGGCGAGGACGAAAGGCAACGCGGGATAGGACCACCAGCGCAGGCGTGGCGGGAAAGCGAAGACAGGGCGCCGAGGGCAATCCTCCGCGACCAGGGCGCAGCGCCAGCGCCAGGGACAGGCGGGAACGGGGCTGCGACGGGGAAGTCCCCTGCGCCCCCATCACAGCAAACAGAACTGTCCTTGTCGCGGCGCCAGCGGTCTCGCAGCGCGCGCGAAGCCTGAACTGGGTCGCAATAAAGAACTGCCGCACAAGTGGGGCGACACGAGGCAAAGAGCGGCCGCGGAGGAGGCGGTCCTCCTCCTCCCTGCTGGTCACCCTATTCATCCCACCCCTCCACAATTACTCAATATGAATACTACTCTCCCTCTTCCCCTGATGGCGTCCAGGGAGTAGTAGACCCCCCCCCCGCGTACTGTTTTTTTACACACAGGATTCCCGGGAGTTGGGTTTTCGCCTGCGTTTTTTTTCAAAATGCTGCTCTTGCTGAGGCGCCGGCCTCATTTCTGCTCCCGAATCGTTCCGAATCGTGCTCCCGCTGCAGCGTGGGCCTCATTTTCGGATCGGTGTTTTGCCTCCGTCGTTCAGGATGGCGTTCTCGCCCCAGCGCGGGCCTCTTTCTCGCGCGCCCATCCGCCCGCCACCACCGCGCCGCACCACGCCCCGCCCCGCCGCACGCACACCCACCGCCACTTCCACCCACCAACGCACGCACGCACGCACGCGCACCACCACCGCGCACCGCCACCACCACCGCACTACCCCACCCACCACCACCACGCTACACCGCGTCACACCACATCACACGCGCGCACACACAGACACACACGCACGCACGCACGCACGCACGCACGCACGCACGCACGCACGCACGCACACGCACGCACGCACGCACACACACACACACACACACACATACACACACACACACACACACACACACACACACACACACACACACACACACCACCACCACCGCCACCACCACCACCGCCATCACGCACGTACGCACCTGGTCCACCAAACCACCAAGACGCCACACCACGTCACACCACAGCACACGCGCACACACGCACACACACACACACACACACACACACACCATCACCACAACAACCACAACCACGCACGCACGCACGCACGCACGCGCACCACCACCCACTACGCACACGCGCGCGGAGCCACATGTCCGCTACGACACGCGTCCGCGGATAGAGAAAATCAGCGCCATGGTAAGGGATGGGAGGGAGGGGTAAGATGTTCGATGTAGACGCGAGCGCACCTAACTTGTCCCACCCCCTCCTCGTCATCCTCCTCCAAGGCGCCGAGGTCTGCAAGGTTTCGGAATCGCCACTTCAGTCTTTTGCCTGGATATGCATAATCCCTGCAAGATGTCCTGATGATATATCATGGTCAGTGGGCTCCGCAGATGGCATGGGTAAGAAGGGATCACGCCGTCAAACATACACTAAGGTATCACTGAAAGGAGGAGGCCGGCCCGCAGGCCGACGCACGCGCGCGCACGCCGCAGGCTCGCTCCTTTTCCGTTTCCCTAGAGCCAAAGTATATAGCTGCGGGAACAGAACAAGTCAGCACAGCAGGCGGACAGCGCGTGCAAGGAGAGAGAGCAGACAGGGCAAAATAATGGTGGTGCGGATGGGGCGCATTGACTCCCCCGCGGCGGGATCCGTAGAGCCGCCCCGACCCCCGAACCCACCTGGCCTGCGCATATGTACAGTCACCGAAGCGAACCCCAAAAAAACAGTTTACCGCTCGACGGTGGTAACCAGGGGGCGGAAGGCCGAGGAAGCCCGACGTTCCCCGCCTGAGCTAATATTTCCAGCTCAGGCCTCAATGCCCACGCACACCTGGTGCACCCGCTCCACGAAGTAGCGCGGACCAGTATCGACTTTGTCCTACAGGTTCCATTGCGCACCATCACCTTCTCCATCGACCTTTCCACTCTCGAGAATCATCCCAGGGATCGCTGTTGCTCCAGCGCCACTGGTTCTGGTCCCTGGAGGAGCTGTCCTCTCTTCTGCTCGACCTCCAGCCACTTGGCTCACTCTTGCCCTGGCCCTCCCCCGACGGCCTTGCCTTGGGCGACCGCGGCGGGGGAGGCACCGGCAAGGTACTCGGCGTCCCAGAGTCGCGCTGGAACTTGTCGCTGTACCCATCCAGAAACCATTGCCATGTTTAAAGATCTTCATCCGCACAGCTTGTCAGGCCCCTACATGCCGCCACGCTGGTTCCGGGCAGGCTGCTGCGCTGTCCGGCGGAAGGGGGCGAGGAAGGGAGAAGCAGGCAGACGACGACGAACGCCCAGGCGGGAGGCCAGGGCCGGCGGGGCGGGCGGGCAGGCAGAAGACGGGCCAGGCCGAGACAGCAGGCAGGGAGCAGGAGGAAAGGAAAGGGAGGGAAGCAACGAGCAGAAGCGAAGGGGGGGGGAGGAGGGGGAGGAGGACAAGGAGGAGAGAAAGCAGCGGCCGCAAGCAGACAGGCCGGGCCAGGGGCCGGGAGAGAAGAGCCGCCCGCGACGAGGCTGCGGACCCTACGGCGGCGACCTGGGCGGGGTGGCCGCCCGAACCCAGCGCGATGCGGCTTGGTGGGGATTGCCCTCTGCGGGATCCATCCACCGCCCCGCCGGGGAAAGGCCGGGCGGCGCGTGGGAGGGGTCGCCGGCGCGACGTTGGCGAAAGGGCGAGGGGGGCGCCCGCGCTGCCCAGCGAGGGCGGGGGGGGGTGGGCGGGGAGCGCTAAGCAGCGCAGGGGGCACCTCACACGGCGTCTGCCGTGGAGGCCACCGCGGCCGCGGCCAGGCGGGCCGCTGCCACCCCCGCCCCTCCAGACAGGGTCTCAAGGCGCCGCAACACAGCCCGCGCGTTCTCCCCGCGCAGGGAGACGGAAAGTCGCTGGGCATGTTGGTCCGCAACCAGTGCGCCGTCTTCCCCCGTGGCGTCAGCCACCCGCTTGGCCAGGACCCCGAAGGCCCTGCGCGCCTCGCGGCCCCACCCGCCGCCGTGGGCTTCCACCACCATGGGGAGGAAAGTGAAGCCCTGTGCCGCGCAGAGCCGCGCGGTGTCCTGGTGCTGCCTTTTTGAACTCCTCGTACCGCTCCGTCGCTGCGCTTGACGAAGCGGCCGACGCGGCGAGGAGATCGGCGCGCAACCCTGACGCGGCGGCAAAGTCCCAGGCGGCCGCCGTGCCGTTGCGCCACCGCGGCAGGTAGACGTCGGCAGGGCGGCGGCCGTTGTCGTCCACCTGGGACCCGCCCTCCTCGCCCCCGGGGGTGGCCTCCCCGGCGGGGCGCGCGGGTAGCAGCCCCGGGCGCTCCAACTCCGCCCCGGCGTGGCCGGCGGCCAGGGCGTCGAAGAAGGCCTGGTTGCGCAGGGCGTTGTGGCGTTTGGTCCGGTCGCCGCGGCAGGCGCAGACCAGGGCGTGGTCGCAGAAAACGCCCATCACCTCGCCACAGGCTGGGCAGAAGCACTCCTCCTGCAGGAGCTGGACTCGCATCCGCCTCTGCAGGCCGACCTGCATGAGGCCGCGCGGGAAGGCGGTGCCGGTGGCCTCGCAGGGCGGCGCCTGGAGCCACGCGGCCGCGCCTGGGGCTTGCACCAGAGGGAGGCGCGCCTTGCCGGCCAGGGTGGAGCCCGCCAGAAGTCCGCCGAGCGAGGCGCTGTCCACCGCGTCGGAGAGGGCCTTCTGGTTGCCGTGCTGCGCGTAGTCGAACACCACCCGGTCGGCGTCCCGCACGACTGCGTTGTGGGCCTGCACCGCAGCCGCCAGGCTACCTCCGTCGCGGTCGGGGTTGTTGGAGTAGACGAGGTAGAGCTGCCGACAGAGGTCGGTGCTCTTCGCTCTGGAAGCGATGTTTCGTGATGACCACTGACTTGATGATGCCGAGATACATGTACGTAGTATCCTCGAATATCTCCATTCTCGGCCTTGTCTTCGCAGTCGACGGTCGCGTCGCAAACGCCGCCCACGGCCGGCCCGGGGCCATCGCCATCGCGCGCGCGGCCGCCAACCGGCTCGACAGCCAGTCTTTGTGGGATGGGTTCCTCAGTGTTCCTCCGTCCAGGATTCATCCGCCCACGACCGAATCCTGTCATACTCGATCCAGCCGGCATTGGTGCCTGACGCGGCTGAGCCGGCAGACACAGGAGCATAGGGAGCGGCCCGATGGGACTGCCTTCCACGCTGGAATCTCGGCCGCGATGCCGGGCGAGAGCATTGCTGCGTTCCCTGTCCCGAGGCGGCAGCGCCGCTCGGGGTAATGCTTTCAACGACTGGGGCTACAACATCTGCAGGCGACTCGGCTGAGACTGTCTCGGTGGGAGAGTTAGCTGGGCCACTCTCCTCCTTCTCCTTCTCAAGGCGATTGGTGATTCCAATAGCGCCATCAGCATTGAAGACCCCAAAAAGGCTGTTGGCGAGACAAATCTCGACACTAAATTTGGACTCCGTAGACGCGCGTATAAAGACCATGGCCTCTTGACTGCCTGAGCAATTCCGTCGTGCGGTCTCAGATACTTCATTTCCTAATCCACTGATCCAGTTATGAAGTAAGTCAAATGTCTCTACTGCAGCTCGGATCCGACGACACAAAGCATAAGCTTATTGCAAAACTTGGGTGGGTTGCGGATTGCGCTGCACCTCGTATCCCGGAAACGCAACGTTGATGCCCGCGGACATGAATAAAAAGATGACTTCTCGTACAGCTAACAGAATGCGCCCCCATCTTCCATGGGTGGGGATGCGATAAAGCGGTTGGTTCCAAATTCGATCCACAAGCTCGGGTAGCCTCGGCGGTACGTCATGGATGACGTCGGTGTCCAACGGGCTCGTATTTGGAGCAATCGATACGTACTCAAGAACAAGCTGTGTTGCGACTTGGATAACATCTGGCCTCTCGTAAGTTTCATTGTTGTAGTTATGACCACACATGCAAACATAAATAAAAACCAGGTCCAGCCAAAAAGGCGACGATCTATTCGTAATAAGCAATGTCGCTGTGCATTACGATTATTGCATATGCCATCCGACATCGCAGCCTTCTGTTCACGTTCCGAGACTACTTCATCACTGTGGCTTGGACGATGACACAAGCCAGCAACGATTCGGAAATCGATGTCCCCTACTTGGCTCGATGCAGATGCTCGGTTCGCTGCTTCCAAGTTATCCGTCAACACTCGAGCTGAGAGAATGGCGAATCCTCTTTCCTCCATTTCTCGCTCCCACTGGTCCCAGCCCGTCTCCGGTCGAATTTGGTCCGCACTTACATGTTCCCAATCGGAAACGGCAAGTGCAGAGCATCTCATAAAGCAATGGCCACCATTGAACAGCCGTGGGGTGAGGATCCCCATGCTGGTGATCCAGCCAATCAATGAACCTGAGCTT